GCAGACGGTGAGAAAGATAGGATTATAACCAGGCCAGAACAGAACCATTGAGGTGGAGGTGAGAGAAGAGGTGGTGGAGAAGAGTGGTCAACAGTATCGAAAGAGGCCGAGGGGTCGAGAAGACAGAGTAGCTGGACAAGCAGAATATCATTTGTCACTTTAACCAGGGCTGTCTCTGTGCTGCGAGCAGCACAAAACCCAGACTGGAGGTGGCCATGAAGGGAATGCTGGGAGAGGAAAGAGCAAAGCTGGGAAGCGATAACTCATTCCATGACCTCTGACAGAAAAGGAAGGTTTGAAATGGGGGGTGGGGGTAGTTGAAGAGCAAAGATGGGTCAAGAGAAGGTAGGGATGATGACAGCTGTCTTTAGGGATATCGCTGCGATGCCAGTGGATGATTATAACTTCTAAGATCCTCTTCTCTTCTGGACTTCTCCCAATAAACATGGGATTATATAGGACTACAAAAGACCACTTCAGTTCATCCAGCTGGTAACCATCACCCACCCCCCCCATCCCCCCGCCCCCACACATACAAAATCAGTATCCGCTACCACAGATACTCTATGTAGTTCATTTCATATATTCACCACGCTCTGTCTAAAGTATCTAAATCTGAACCCTCCAGTCACCTTCCTTCTTCTACCAATATAATTCTACTCACAAGATCAAAAGAGAGATTAAAAGTTATTTGGCCCATTTTACTGAATCTCTCCACCACGCCTTCACATCACCCTGTCAAGGGAGTCCTGTAGCTCAGTGGTTAAAGCACTCGCTTTGCAAGCGAGAGACCTGAGTTCAATTCCAGGCAGGGCGAAACCTTGGGCAAGTTTCCTTACTCCACACGCCTAATAATAATCCCTCCAAAAACCCAAAACAATAATAAATTGGTCATTTTCAATCTACGACTGTTTGTGGGACATTGCTGTGCGCAATTGGCTGCCGCGTTTGCCCACAAATATACAGTCAATTCACTTTACAGTGTGTTCTGTGAAGCGCTTTGGGACGTCCTCCCGACGTGAAAAGTGCTATATCAAATGCAAGGATTATTATTATTATAAGGTGTTTCTTAAATAGTTCCAGCCTCAATTACGTCTTCCTAAAAATTCATTCTGATTTAAGACTAAATCTAAGAATTAAAATTCTGCATGGCCTTAAAATATAAATTGGATTATTGTAGCTGGACAAGCAGTGGGAAGCTAGCCAGACAGCGCTCATAATAGCAAGCTCTGCGGTTTTAGCTGGTTAAGACTCCATTAGTACACTACATTCTACGGTCACCAAACCATGGGTCTTGCCAACCAGCACCTAATACTGGCTGGAATTAAATAAGCAGGGTGTGTCCCTATGGGGAGAGAATACACATTCCAATCCAGAAGGCTAAATCCTTTCCTTCTTTGTTTTTAACATGCATTTGTAAAATAGAAATGTTTTTTTAGAAGGTGTTTTACATGAAATTATATGACATTGAGGATGATAATTTCATGTAATTGGAAAATGTGAACTCAGAGAAATCTAAAAGCGCTCTGGGACCCTACCCTGTGGGAAGGGTGCTTTATAAATGCAAGTTATTGTCGTCGTTGTATCACCAGTCAAGAGCTGCAGATTCAATGTTAATGGTCAAAATCTTTTCTGAATATAAGAAGTTAAAAAGCATAGCATCTGTAAGCAGCCTGAGATGGAGCAACGTCATCCTCATGCAACATGAAAATATGTTACGCAGACATCAGCTGTTGTAGACACCATCATCAGCTACAATATCAACCGTGAACAACACGGCTGCTAAATCTGGAGAAGCAACAGAGGAAACAGGAGGAGGCCATTCAGCCCATCGAGCCTGTTCCACCAGTTTATTAGATTTTCTCACTTTTTAATCCTATTGCTATCTTTCACTATCTCCCTTAGTACGTCTACCACCCAAGTATCTGTGTATATGTCTTTTAATCAACAGGCATGTTTTTTTTTGGTCAGCTATGTGTCTGACACACGCGGAAACCCATCACCATGCTTAAGAGTATGCAAACCAAACTGAGAATTCCATGAATTTCATGTGTAGGTTGGAGGCATGGAAATCTCAGCTTGGTTTGGATACTCTTAAGCATGGTCATTGGTTTCCGCATGTGTCAGACACACAGCTGATCAAAAAAAACATCCCCGTTGATGCCGCCTCTACAGCTTTCTGAGGCAGAACATTCCACCTCTTCACAATCTCCTGTCGGAATGCCTCCGACCTGAGCTCTCTAACTGTCCTGAGCTGCTCACTAACAAACTAGCTTCTTCTCCAACCATGTTCACTCCATGAGCAAGACGGTGAACAAACGACAACTGTCACCTTACTGTAGCTGCTGAGAACGTTTATAGGCACTCTGGAACACTCGCCCCAATTCCTATGCCTTGCCCCTCCTTCCCCATCTTCAGGTCACACCTGAAAACCCTCCTCCTCAACTCTGCTTACAGTCACCTCCCCCTGTTTCGGCATCATGCTCCCCACTGTGAAACGCTCTGGGATGCTACCCTGCGTGTGCTATATAAATGTAAGTTGTTGTTATTGAGCAGCAACTACTGCTTCTAATGCATTAGTACCATTATAGTCAGTGTCAAAGTGAGACATTCTGCAATATGAACCTTGATATCAGTAGTCTGCGCTCCGAGACTCTATCACTACATAAATACAAGTTGTTGACGTCTGAGCTGTGAATGCAACCTTTCATTTGGCATCGAAAGCACACTGTACAATATTTGCCGTGTTGTTAGTGCGCAGACCAAGACAGCTAGAACTGAGATCAGGAAGCATTCCTTCACACAGAGTATTGTGAAGGTGTGGAATGCTCTCCCCCACAAAACTGTAGAGGTGGAATCAATGGCCGGTACGGATCAGGAATTTTGCAGCTATTCACAATTTTGAGCATTGCAACAAACATTATGTGCTTTTGCAGTAAAATCATTTTGTTGAATGGATCTTTAATTTTGTACTATTGCACTATTGGCATTATTTGAAAAGAGAAGGGACTTTTTCCCCAGTGTCCTGGCCAACAATCCCCCAAATAAAATTGATCACTCACTTCTTGGTTGCTTGTGGGAAATTGCTGTGCGCAACTAGCTGCCGCATATTGTCGACAAAACACAGTCACTACACTTTAAGTATATCCTGTGAAGTGCTTTGAGATGTCTCAACAACATGATAAAGAGCTATATCAAATGCAAGGATTATTATTATTGTAATCTAGGCTGACACTCCAGTGCAATATTGGGAGAATGCTGTATCACTGGGACATTAAACCACGTTCCATGACACAGCCTGTTCAGTTGGGGTTAAAGATTCAAAAAAAGAAGGGATTTCTCCTGGTGTCCTGGCCAGCAATCCTCCAGATAACATGCTCATTCATCCCATGGCTGTGTGTGGAAAATAGCTGATGCAAATGGCTGCCGTGTTTGCCTACCAAATTACCAAAATAGTCATTATATTTGACAGTAATTAACTGTAAAACGCTTTGACATGTTTCAATGTGAGAAGGTGCTATAAAAATTGTGAGTTCTTTCTTTCTTAATACAATCCAATTAAAGAGTGCACATTTCTGGAATTGGAAAACACTGCAAAAGAAATTATTAAAGCGACAAAATTGATTTGGCTAAATATAAAGAATACAGTATTTCTTTCCAATGTAAAGCTTAGTGATTTTCTGTTAACAATCTTGAACCACCAAAATCAAGAAGACCTTAACAGGCAGCATTACCCGACATGTTACACATCTGCACTAGTAGAATTACAAGTGGAGAAGAGCAGGAATAAACCTTGCTCTGCTAAACTGGTCAGTGCTACTGTTTCTAACTATGCTTAACTATGCCTTTCAATGTGACTGCGATGTCAAAAGATGTTGCCCTTATCCCATTCATTTTCCTCCTTTGCATTATTCACCATTAACCGATTGTGACTATGTGGCTCCTATCCCATAGATGCTATACTGTATAAATGTACAAATTTGTATTTTAAGTTAAGAATATAAGAATTTGCTCGATGAAAGAAGACCAAGGTCCATCCAATCTATATAATTGTATCCTGAGATATTATATCCTAACAGAAATCTATGTAATTTGTTGGTCCATTTTCTTCCCTGCCCATTATCTCTCCTTGTTTAACAAGCACCTCACCTCTGCCTACTCTTCATAGTGTGCTCTAAAGATGAGACCTCATTGTAAGAGGTATCATGGACATAAAACACAGATCCCACTACCAGACCTAGATTTGGAACTCATACTTTTTTTAATGTAGGTTTTGTTTGAACTATAGCCTGTGTTAGCATCTGATAGATATGTTCGGTGGATTTACTTTCCTGGCAGCCATGATATCTAGACCCTGGTTCTGACATTCAAGTGGTTCCATGCCATTGCCTGACCCTATTTCTGCAGTCTCGCCCAAGCCATAATATATATATATATAATACATAAATATATAATATATATGTTTATGATGCATTTAAAATTCTTCCCCACCAGTTTCTTTCCTCCTCCTCTAAAGGGACTGCCATAATGGGGATATGATGCCAGTCACCCTCCAGTATCTTAGCCACTCTCCCTTCACTCCACAAACTCAGGCTTGCTGCACATCCCTCACACTGTTGGCTTGTCATTGGCGGATCTCAGCTTCTAAGCCCTCTGTTTTCTGGAACTCCCTCCTCAAATCATCAGCCTCACACCCTCCCACTTCTTGAAAAACTATCCTTAATACCTTATCAGCAACCATGCCTTCCTTCTTAACTCCCCTCCCACCCTTCATCATTTTGCCCATGTATTTATTTTCATCTCCGTCTGGAAAGTGCTTTGAGACGTTAACCCCATAACATAAGGCGTCATAAAAGTGCAAGGTGCCAGGGCTATTCTTTTTTTAAACTGCGTGACTCTAACCATGCAATAACATGAAAGGGAAGCAAACGAGATTAATTCAGAGATTATAGTACACTGAATATGCCTTTCCCTTAGTTGTCTGAAAACTGCGAACTTACCTGTGGGTTTCATGTAATATTGCTCTATATCTGACATGTCGGTTTGTAGTGCACACTCAAGATAGCTGAGGATAACTTTCCTACTGTAGTAGTATCTTGTGCCCAAAAGTAAGATGGGCACACAGCAGGTCAGCAGGAGGGAGTTCGTCAGATAAAAGCAAATTACTATGGAGATAAGGGAGAGAAATAAACGATACCTGTCAGAAAAGAGAATGAAGTGTTTATTTCAGACCACCCCAGAGGAGAGAGATTTAATAAAAATATATGTACATTCATTATACATTATTTAAAAAAAATTTAAAAAATCAAAGAAAAATTATTTCTGCCTATATTATATATATAATATATACTTACATAGCTTGTCTCAATTGGAGTCGAGTGTTCACAAGCGTCAATTCCCCCATATACAGTAAGTGCTGTGTTTACATGTGTATAGGTGTCACTGACAAAACTGACCACACAATATAATCAAGTCAATCACCCGAAACAGGTTCTCCTCTGAAGCGCAAGGGCTATGGCAACGATAGGTGTGTACTTCCTGGCTCCCTGGTCACATAGTGCCTTTTACTGCCATTGGCCAAGAATGCGCTCTCCGCATGCTAAAACAACCATCACAAAAGTTCCACATTCAGAGCCCCTCAAAGCAACCTACACATCGAATTTCTCCCGAGTTAAAACATTTTTTTTGAAACCTTTGAAAACAATTCACAAATTGCCGTTTGAAACCACCCCTCCCCCACACCCCGCCCTACCTCTTTTTTAGGATTTTAAATGAAAAATTGTAAATGCGTAGTTTGTTCACCTCAGGCTTCAGAACGAGAGGGATTATCCCATCCAGAGACGTGCGGTCAGTCAATCCTTCTTTCTCCCACCTGCGCTTCTCCAAAACACTTGCAAAGAGGATTGTATCCCGAACGGAAGCCCGCGGCGCATGTCCTACACACATGTGCTGGCAATTACCAGGAAAGCACACAATGCATTCCCCTACACATGTGTGCTGGCAGTCACTAGGAGTGCATACAGCGCTTTCCCCTACATGTGTGCGCTAGCAATCACTAGGAATGCATACAGCACATTTCCCTACGCCAAGTGTTGGCAAATATTAGGAGTGCACACAGCATATCCCTTAGACACACATGTGGAAATCACTTGGAGTGCATATAGTACATCCCCTGCCAATCAGTGGGTGTGTACACAGCACATTCCCTACACATGTATGTGGCAATAACTGGGAGTGCACACAGCACATCCCCCTACATGCATGTGTGGAAATTATATGCAGACCCTACAGGCAAGTACTGGTACTCACTGTTAGGGCGCAGCACATACCAAACACATGTGTGTTGCTGATGTTTAGAAGAGCTCCGCTCATCCCCTACAGACATGTGTACTGGCAATGAAGAGGAGCTCATCTAAATACACCCACCCACCCACACACACGCACACACACCTGTGCTGGTAATGAACAGGAGAGACCACCAGGTATCCCCTTTTCACCATGTGTGTGCGGGATGCGGAAAGTTCTTTAAAAAAAGGGCAGTGAACACCTTATCAAACCTGGGCATTGAGCGTCTGCACAAGAACATGCTGTAACTTTCACACGCCCGCAAAGTGCAGAGATGCATGTGTGTGTACACGTGGACACATTCTAATAGCATGCGTCAGTTCCGACTTCTAACTAGAGCGAGTGGCACATGCATGTTCACCCAATGCACAGGATGCAACGTGTTCCCATGCGGTGGTGCAGAGAAGCGGGGGGGGGGGGTGGGGGGAAAATATATTCTTCACATCTCTCTCAACAGATACTGTAGCTGTTCTCAATTGATAAACAGGAGTGGTGAACGCATGTTAGCGCTGAGCGCACGTGTGTGTTACCGCGGCTGGTGTCCTTATCTCAGTGCATGTCCCATGTTCATCCAGTATGCGGGGTGCATGTTCCCAGAGCTTGGGGTGCTGCGTTGCGGCTCTGTCACAGGGGAGCCAGGTGTATACTCATGTATGCACACAGTGGATGCATGCTTTCCCCCAGCAGAAGTCCTGATGCTCACTGTCACATGGTGAATGAGTGCATGTTACAGCAGGTGTGTGCTGGTGTGTGTGTGCGTGCTGGTGTGTGTGTGTGCGTGCTGGTGCATGTGTACTGGTGTATGTGTGCTGGTGTGTGTGTGTGTTTGCATGAGATAGCAATCAGAGGGGTCCAATCTTTTAGCTGTTGAGGGCCGGATGCCCTATTTGAAAAATGTTGCGGGCCCCATAAGCAATATTTCTGTGCTTCCCTTCCAGAAGCATAACAAGATTTGCGGGTTATGGAAGGAGCGGGTGGACCAGAGGAAATGGAAGGAGAAGGGGGAAGGGGTGGGGGGGGGGGGATGAAATCGGCCCGCGGGCCGCCAGTTGGGACTACCCTGACTGGTTAAAACGCTCGAGGCTCACAGCTCCCCCACAGCACAGCATTGAGTCAGTGAGTGGGTGTCGAGTGCAGAAATGCAAGGGATTTGGAAAGACCCTGGTGGTGGTGTGGTGGTGGGGGGGGGGGGGTGTGGGGTGTGGTGTGGTGGTGGGGTGGGGGGGGGGGGTGTGGTGGTGGGGTGGGGGGGGGGGCACATCGCTGCAAGGTGGCGCTGAGCCGCTGGTGGGTTGAGGACGGTCGAGTTTTTTTTTCCCTTCCAACGAGGGGACCACAACTTAACCCCAACCCTCCACTAGAGAGCGTCGCCCTCCCCATCCACAGAGCAGCACCATCTCTCCTCATCCCGCTCTCCCAGCGACGGCTGCAGCTCACACTGCATCTCTAGGGTATGGCTGCGGGTCCTGTTCTTCCCTCCCCCCATCCCTCTCCCCCTCCCTCTCTCCCTCACCCCCTCCCTCCCTCCCTCTCCCCCCCATCCCTCTCTCCCTCCTCTCTCCCTCACCCCTCCCTCCTCACCCCTCCTCTCCCCCTCCCTCTCTCCCTCCCTCTCTCCCTCACCCCCTCCCTCCCTCCCTCCCTCTCTCCCTCACCCTAACCCTCTCCCTCCCTCTCTCCCTCACCCCTCCCTCCCTCCTCTCTCCCCCCATCCTCTCTCCCTCCCTCTCTCCCTCTCTCCCTCCCTCTCTCCCTCCCTCTCTCCCTCTCTCCCCATCCCTCCTCCCCCTCCCTCACCCCCTCCCCCTCCCCCCATCCCTCTCTCCCCCTCCTTCCCTCCCTCACCCCCTCTCTCCTTCACCCCCTCTCTCCCTCACCCCCTCCTCCCTCCCTCCCTCCCTCTCTCACCCCCTCCCTCTCTCCACACACCCACACAACACTCACTCACACTATGTCCAAACGAGTGAAAAACCCTTCAAATATTAAATCCACCGTTACATCAGTGCCTATATTTTTTTGGGGAGGGGAGGGAGGGAGGGAGGGGGGGAGGGGGGAGGGGGAGGGTTTCTCGAAACAAAAACATTTTTTTTCCTCTTAAAAAAATAAATACATATATCCAAAGAAATCGTACATTTTTCGATGGATCGGAATTATTGGTGTCATCATAACAATGAGATCAGAGATCGCGTTGGAGGTTTTTTTTTACAGATATCAATGATATATATATAAACACATTTGAATAATAATAATATGAATAATAATAACGCGATTAAAACGGGCATAAATCGGGACAGCGTTCGATGTGCAAATAATAATCATTATTTGTGTGTGTGTGTGTGGGGGGGGGGGGGAGAAAGGGAATAAATAGAGTCGAGAGGAGCGACGACGACGATAACAACAACAACAACCACCGAAATAAAGAGAGAGAGAGAGAGAGAGAGCGGACGGGGGAGAGGGGGTGTGTGTGGGGGGAGAGGGGGGTGTGGGGGTGTGTGTGGGGGCAGAGGGGGGGGTGGTGGGGGAGAGGGGGTGTGTGGGGGAGGGGGGTGTGTGTGGGGGAGAGGGGTGTGTGGGGGTTGTGTGTGGGGGAGAGGGGGGGTGTGGGGGGTGTGTGTGGGGGAGAGGGGGGGGGGGGTGGTGGGGGGAGAGGGGGGTGTGGGGGGGGGGTGTGTGTGGGGGAGAGGGGGGGTGTGGGGGAGAGGGGGGGGGTGGTGGGGGGAGAGGGGGGGGTGGTGGGGGAGAGGGGGTGTGTGTGGGGGAGAGAGGGGGGGGGGTGTGGGGGGAGAGGGGGGGTGTGAGGGGGGAGAGGGTGTGTGTGGGGAGAGAGGAGGGGAAGAGAGGGGGGGGGAAGGACCGTCGCGAAAAAATTCGCTTTTACCTGTGAGGAACGCGTAAAAGAGCAGTATGTTGGGATGTTGCTTCAGGCCCCTGAAGGCGGTGTTGGGGATGCGCTCCATGATGCCCTGGTAGAAGATGCGGCACACGCTCTCCTGTTCGCTCCTCTCAAACTCGCGGATACAGAAGCAGTCCTTCTTGCCGGACTCCGGGCCGGGGGGGGGAGGGGGAGGGGGAGGGGAGGGGGTCGCGGGGTGGTGGGGGTGTTGGTGCTGGTGGGGGGTGGTCCCGGCCCCCGGAGGCCACAGCTGGCTGGACGACACGATGGGATCAGCCTTGGACCCCGGCATCTCGTCGTCCGCTACGATCTTGGTCTCGCAAACCATTTTTGGAGGCAGAAAATGCATAAAACTGGGGGTGGGGGCGCGTCGGCAAAAAAAAAAAACCCAAACCCAACTTTTTTTAAAAAAATATCCCCCCCCCCCCCCTCCCCCCTCACCCCTCACCCCCTCACCGAATTATATTGGGAGAAAAACACACACCCGTACGGCGCACAGACACGAACCCCCTCTCTCTCTCTCTCTGCCCCTGAAGACAAAAAAATTGGAGGGTCAAACCTCTTCCTTGTGTTGGTGTTGGTGAAGGTACAAACTCTCCCTCTCTCTCTCACTCCCTCTCTCTCCTCCACTCTCCCTCCTCTCTCTTCTCCCCTCTTTCATCTCCTCTCCCTCTCTCTCCCTCTCCCTCTCTCTCTCTCTCTCACACAGTGACTGAGCCCCGGAGTCGCGGCTGTTTATAACGCGAGTCAGTCCCAGCGCTATAAGTGATTCAGGTTGCGGGGCCGCTGTGGGCGGGGGGGGTGGGGGGGGGCCGGGCCCGGGCCCGGGTCCGCCCGGGATTGGCGGGAGCGCTCGGCCTGTCATCCCAGGGCGGGAACAGCGCCTTTCCTTCGGCCGCTTCACTGCGAAATCTTATTGCATTTCGCTCCTTTATGTCTCTTCGACGTTCTCCCTCTCTCTCTCTTCCCCCTTCCCTCCCTCTTTGCCCCTTCCCTCCCTCTTTGCCCCCTCCCTCCCTCTTGCCCCCTTCCCTCCCTCTTTGCCCCCTCCCTCCCTCTCTTCCCCTTCCCTCCCTCTTTCCCCCCTCCCCTCCCTCTTTGCCCCCTCCCTCCCTCTCTTCCCCTTCCCTCCCTCTTTCCCCCTTCCCTCCCTCTTTCCCCTTCCCTCCCTCTTTCCCCCCCTCCCCTCCCTCTTTGCCCCTTCCCTCCCTCTTTGCCCCCTCCCTCTCTCTCTTCCCCTTCCCTCCCTCTTTGCCCCTTCCTCCCTCTTTGCCCCTTCCCTCCCTCTTTCCCCCTTCCCCTCCCTCTTTGCCCCCTTCCTTCCCTCTTGCCCCCTTCCCTCCCTCTTTGCCCCTTCCCTCCCTCTTTGCCCCCTCCCTCCCTCTTGCCCCCTTCCCTCCCTCTTTGCCCCCTCCCTCCCTCTCTTCCCCTTCCCTCCCTCTTTCCCCCTCCCCTCCCTCTTTGCCCCTCCCTCTCTTCCCCTTCCCTCCTCTTTCCCCCCTCCCCTCCCTCTTTGCCCCCTCCCTCCCTCTCTTCCCCTTCCCTCCCTCTTTCCCCCTTCCCTCCCTCTTTCCCCCTTCCCTCCCTCTTTCCCCCCTCCCCTCCCTCTTTGCCCCTTCCCTCCCTCTTTGCCCCCTCCCTCTCTCTCTTCCCTTCCCTCCCTCTTTGCCCCTTCCTCCCTCTTTGCCCCTTCCCTCCCTCTTTCCCCCTTCCCCTCCCTCTTTGCCCCCTTCCTTCCCTCTTGCCCCCTTCCCTCCCTCTTTGCCCCTTCCCTCCCTCTTTGCCCCCTTCCCTCCCTCTTTGCCCCTTCCCTCCCTCTTGCCCCCTTCCCTCCCTCTTTGCCCCTTCCCTCCCTATTTGCCCCCTCCCTCTCTCTCTTCCCCTTCCCTCCCTCTTTGCCCCTTCCCTCCCTATTTGCCCCCTCCCTCTCTCTTCCCCTTCCCTCCCTCTTTGCCCCTTCCCTCCCTCTTGCCCCCTTCCCTCCCTCTTTGCCCCCTCCCTCCCTCTTTGCCCCCTTCCCTCCCTCTTTGCCGCTTCCCTCCCTCTTTGCCCCCTTCCCTCCCTCTTTGCCCCCTCCCTCCCTTTTCCCCTTCCCTCCCTCTTTCCCCCTTCCCTCCCTCTTCCCCCCTCCCCTCCCTCTTTGCCCCCTTCCCTCCCTCTTCGCTTCCCTCCCTCTTTGCCCCTTCCCCCCTTCTTTGCCCCCTCCCTCTCCCTCTTCCCCTTCCCTCCCTCTTTCCCCCTTCCCTCCCTCTTCCCCCCTCCCCTCCCTCTTTGCCCTCTCCCCTCCCTCTTTGCCCCCTTCCCTCCCTCTTTGCCCCTTCCCTCCCTCCTTGCCCCTTCTCTCTCTCTCTATCTCTCTCTCTGGTTGTCCCCTCCTTCCCTCCCCCCCCCTCTCTCTTTGCCTCCTTCTTCCTTCCCTATCCCCGTTCTCTCCTCTCTCACTCCCTCCCTCCTTCCCTCTCACTCCCTCTCTCCTTATCTCTCTGCCCCCTCCCTCCTCCCTCCCTCCCTCCCTCCCTCCTCCCTCCCTTCATCCCCAACTCTGCATCGGCGTCAAACTGCACATTGAGCTGATGTCTGCACAAAGCAGAATTAAACCCAAATACGTAACTCGTGACGGATCAGTCAGTTTATACAGAATAATTTGCAGCTTCTGTTGGAATTAATACCCCCCCCCTCCCCTCCCCCCCCACACCATCTTCATTCCCCAGCCTTTTTTTTTCTCATCTCCCTTTTATCCCGTTTGCCTTTTTCTATCCCCCTTTTTCCCACTGATCTGCAGAGAAAGCGCAAAATACAATGCAAACCGACGATAAGACGCAACGTAGAGGAACGAAGGAGATGGAAATGAGATGTTCCTGGAAGGAACACATTAAATATTTGATGGGGGGCGCGAGATAACTAAAAAAAACAATGAATTTGGCTCATTTATCTTTTTCTTCCCTTCTCCCTCTCTCTTCCCTTCTCTCTATCTTCCCTTCTCTCTCTCTCTCCCCCCTTCTCTCTATCTTCCCTTCTCTCTATCTTCCCTTCTCTCTCTCTCTCCCCCCTTCTCTCTATCTTCCCTTCTCTCTCTCTCTCCCCCCTTCTCTCTATCTTCCCTTCTCTCTATCTTCCCTTCTCTCTCTCTTCCCCCTTCTCTCTATCTTCCATTCTCTCTCTCTCCCCCCTTCTCTCTATCTTCCCTTCTCTCTATCTTCCCTTCTCTCTATCTTCCTCTCTCTCCCCCCTTCTCTCTATCTTTCCTTCTCTTTCTCTTCTCTCTTCCCTTCTCTCTATCTTCCTCTCTCTCCCCCCCCTCTCTCCCCCCTCCTCCCCCCTTCTCTCTATCTTCCTTCTCTCTATCTTCCTTCTCTCTCTCTCCCCCCTTCTCTCTATCTTCCTTCTCTCTCTCTCTCCCCCTTCTCTCTATCTCCTTCTCTATTTCCTTCTCTCTCTCTCCCCTTCTCTCTATCTTCCCTTCTCTCTCTCTTCCCCCTTCTCTCTATCTTCCATTCTCTCTCTCTCCCCCCTTCTCTCTATCTTCCCTTCTCTTTCTCTTCTCTCTATCTTCCCTTCTCTCTATCTTCCCTTCTCTCTCTCCCCCCTTCTCTCTATCTCCCCTTCTCTCTCTTCGTTTCTGCCTTCCTTCTCTCTCTTCCTTTCTGTCTCCTCTCCCCCAGAGCAATGTGAAAGTGAGCCTTGTGGGCAAAGCGACACGAGTCTCGATTGTGGATCCTTTCCATGTCAGTTAACCCTGTGCAACTTATAATAAAAACGCTGACATCCTCTCCTCTCTCCCTCTCACACACACACCACCACCATCATCATCACCATCATCACAGCTTCACTGCAGTGTGACAGGACATCCGGGGTTCCTCTCCATCATTTCTGCTACCAGTAGGGGTAACTATTATTATACACTCTCACACTCTTACACTAAAACAAACCCACAAGAAGACCATCCAGTGCAAGTGAATAAACCACACGGCTCTGTGTGTGTGTGTGTGTGTGTGGTGGGGTGGGGGGGGGGGAGACACTGGTGGGATACAGCAATAACCTTGAGGATGAGTCTCAGGAGATGCTGATGGTGAAAAAAAATCCACGTCTTTTGGATACACCAGGAGGGAGGGAAGGACAGAGGTGTTCACTCTGCACAATGTCACCAGGCGAAACCAGACCCGACCCGACCCGACCCGACCAGCGTGAAAATGCGACTTTACTCTAACATGCAAAACAAATGTCTTCCTTCCTTCCTTCCTTCCTTGCTTGCTTTCCGCTTGGTATTTTTGTTGAGCACAAGGTTACATGGAATATAACTAAGCCACGATTTTCTCATCAACGCAACAGTAATACTCAACGTCTTCATTCCCCATCTCTCTTTTATACCATACGCTGAGATCTCTGTCTGTCTGTCTGTCTGTCTGTGTCTGTGTCTGTGTCTGTGTCTGTCTGTCTGTCTGTCTGTCTGTCTGTGTCTGTCTGCACGTTTCGACTTGAACAAAATAAAATAATAAATAAATACACGTATTTATTTATTGCATTCGGGACATCATTCGTGTCTGTAAAGGACGTGGAGGGAAGAGAGGGTGAGATTTGAGAGAGGGTGAATGCATTCAATCTGATCAGCGCCCCCCCCCCCCACCCCACCTCCTCTCCTGATTGAATCCGGATTGAGTAACGAACATTGTGCAAAAAGATAGGGATAAGATGGAAGCTGGAATTTCGCATTCCTCTCCGTTCAAAGGCTTTGACTCCACGCATGCTCCTCTAATGATGGATGCCTTAACTTTAGCATTGCCCCCTTTTATTCCACTGCATTGCCAGGCGTTCATTCGTTTTTTTTTCATTTGTTGGTTTATCATTTTAAATAAAGACGGGGCAATGTTTGGGAGAGATTTATCATGTTTTTTTCTTGGGGGAGGGGGGGGGGAGGGAGGTTGGGTAAGAGGTGGGAGTCACACCATCGATTGGGTCAATGTGCTTCTTTGTGAAATCGACATGTTCTTGAATTTCCGGAGAGGTGATGATGATGAGAGAGAGAGAGAGAGAGAGGAGAGAGACTCGTGATTCAAGATGGGTGTTGTGTATATACAGTATTTCTGTAGGTTGGGTTGGGATCAAGAGGGATACAGTAGTATTTCACAAGAGGACCACTGCGTTTATTGTGAAGCCACTCCACCGCGCAGTTCAATATCCTTTATCATGTACATCCCAATTCACTTTCCTGGTTAGAGAACTGATGGATACATTTCTTTGTGCTGTGCAGGTTTAGTGAGAGCCTCGCTTTTCATTCGATGATTTGAAGAATGATTAATGATGTAGGGATTTCCCCCCCACCTCCCTCCCTCCCACCCTCCCTCCCACACA